GGGGTTTGAGCTCGGGAGAATAGCGGGGTGGGCGGCGGGCAGAGGGTACAAGCACATGTGCGTGGTGAATGAGGATTCCAAAAAACCCAGTGCGCCTAAAGTTTTTCTCGATGCTCATGCTGTTAAATGAGCGACAGATGCTATAACGCTCATACATCTTCCGAACGGACCCACAGCTTATTTCAAACTGACGTCCGTGGAATTGACGAAGCAAATTTATGTGGGTGGGGTTTCTCAATCCCTGGAACCAGTGATTGAAAATGCCTCCAGGGACATGCTCGCGCGACACCGCACGACCCCGAACTTGTTCTGAACAACTTTGTCACGCGTCTCGGCCACGCTGTCGGTCGTATGTTCCAGACGCTCTTCCCCCCGCTGCCCGAATTCCAGGGCCGCCAGGTCGTTACTTTACACAATCAACGCGATTTTCTATTCTTCAGGCGGCATCGGTGCGTGCTTCTTTCTGACCTCTCAAGTCATCTGACCAACTTCGCTTGGTACAGGTACGCTTTCAGGACGCCAGAAAAAGTCGCGCTGCAGGAAATCGGCCCCCGATTCACGCTCAAGTTGCGGTCGCTCCGGAAGGGCATCCCTGCAGTACATCGTTTTGGCGACGATCCCAAACCTTTGGTATTTGAGGTGGACAACAAGGAGGAAGATGAGGGTATTCTGGAGGAGGCTAGCACTGCTGAGCCAAATCCCGGCGACAAAGCAGAGCCAAATCTGGACGACAACAGTCCTGCTGACGAACCTCCAAAGCCCGTTGTACCTCCACAGACAGATGAGTACCTATGGGCATGGAAGGTTCGTGTCCTTTGCATCTAATGTGTGGGTCGGACTAATTGCCTGCTGCAGCCGGAATTGGAGACTACGAGAAGGACTTTCTTTCTGTAGTCGCTGTATTAACAATTCTTTTTATTTCTTTTTTCTTTCACTTCCTCACTTCCGAGGTGGCCTGATGCTTGTGTGTAGAATGGAGCTTCAGTAACGAGTTTTTGCTATCGCTATGCCCGCGTTGACGTGCAGACTGCTCAAGTCAACGTTACTTTCATTGACTTGCCCAAAAAAAAAAAATTGGGTGGCTGTGACTGATAATGATCGAAGTTAATCTTATCTCCCCGACCAACTCATGCTTCGGTTCCGTCTGCCAGCGTCTGCTGTCCTTTAAAGGAACGCTTACACCTGAATGACACTCCACCGCTATTCTTCTGTCCCAACATGGCCCCCAAAGCAAAGACACCATCCAACCTGAACGCCATTACTGCGACGTCGCAGCAGTCCCGCTTCCACGCCGAGACACTCGATACTACTCTTGAAATCGATCTCAAGAGTGTCACTATTTCTATCGGAGAACGGGAATTAATCTCGTCGAGTCATCTACGCCTCAAGGATGGTATTCGATATGGTCTCATTGGGCGAAACGGATCTGGGAAGTCGACGCTACTGACGGCAATTGCGGACAAGCTTATTCCTGGCCTCAGTCCGTCCATTCGAATCCTTCTACTTTCTCAGGTAGAAGATAGTGCCAGAGCGACAGATGAGCCAGGCGTCGCCTCTATCAATGTACTCGAGCATGTAGTCAAGGGAGACAAGGAGCGACAGGCTGCTGTGGAGGAGCTCGATGGCGCGTATATATCCGTTCTCGCATTATATAGTGTATTGAACATTGGTTCAGCTTTGACCAAAGCAGTCGAAACCACCTCTCTTCGTGATACACAACGCATTGTTTATACTTTACGTCTCGATAAACGGCGCCGAGAGTTGGTGGAGGCTAAGAAGGTTGCAAGTCGAAGATCCGGCACCCGTGGTAAAGATGCCCGTCTGGAAGAAATAAAGGCCGAAGAGGCTGTCAAGCAGGCTGAACTTTTGTAAGTATCAAATTGCTCTCGATAGCCCAGGCTGATCCCATTCAAGAATGGAAGAGGTGGACACGGCCGATATAGAAGCTGATATCATGAACCGGGCTTTGGAGATGCTACAGGATTGCCAGGTCACGCTGGATCTGGTATAATTTGAATTTGATTCCTTTGAGTACACCACTGAATTATCTACAGCTCGAAACATCGTCTACAGAAGCGCGAGCCGCAAGTATTCTCTTCGGCCTGGGCTTCACCCAGGAAATGATGGAAGGTCTTTACACCTCCCTTTCTGGTGGTTGGCGGTCGAGATGCTCCCTTGCAACGTCCCTTCTTGTCCACAGCGATGTTCTACTCCTCGATGAACCGTCCAATTTCCTGGTGCGTAAATTGGCCCCCTGCTCTATATCTACTCAATGGCTGCGAGTAGGATCTCGAAGCGATAATATGGCTGGAAGGATTCCTGAGCTCACAGTCACGCACTCTCGTGCTCATTTCCCACGACCAAGACTTCCTCAATAATGTCGTGGAAGAGACGATCATCTTGCGAAACAACAAGCTGGAATATTTTGAAGGCACACCTGCTGCCTTCGAAGTCAATGAGCGGAAGAAGAAGAAACAGCTCACCAGTGCGCAAGAGACTTTGGATAAAAAACGGGAACATGTGCGTGCAAGCAGCAGTTTTTCCTGATGACTTGTCATCAATGGCCGGGGCAGATTGAAAAGTCAATACAACAAGGCGCAGCCAGTGCTAAGAAGACGGGTGATGAGAACAGGTAGCTTCCTTTTTGAGACTCTCGAACCTTGTTAACCGCTCGCTACAGACAACGAATGGTAAAATCGCGGCAGAAAAAGTACTTCTCCTATCTGGCAAAAAATAAACTCAGCTAATTCACAATGTCAGATTAGATGAGCGTTGGGGAGCCGAGACCAGTGCGAAGGGAACAAGATTTAAACTCAACCGAGACATGGTGGGCTACTTCAACTCGAATCGCGCCGATATCGAGAAAACAGCGAATGAAGCGAAAGTCAAAATTAATATTGCCAGTCCAGACAAACTGCGAACGCTCGGAGACTTGATCCATTTTGACGCCGTTGGGTACCGATTCATGAAGGCGAAGAAACCCTTTCTAGAGGATCTCACGTTCACCGTGAACCAGGGTGGTCGATGTGCCTTTGTAGGCGCCGTGAGCCTTCTTTCTCTTACCGTTTTCTTGAGGGGCTTTGCTGATCCCTTCTGCAGAACGGACAAGGAAAATCCACGATTGCCAAGCTGATCATGGGCACACTCAAACCCACCAAAGGCGCCATTACTCGACATCCACTGCTCAAAATTGGTTACTTTTCTCAACACTCCGTTGAGGAACTGTCGGGCCCTGCGACTCGATCGACGTCTGATAGACCAGTGACGGCGTTGTCATATTTTATAGAATATTTCGAGGCCAAGGGTGAAACGGTCGTGGAGCAGGATGCCAGGAAGTGCTTAGGATCTTTTGGTCTGCAGGGAAAAATTGCCAGTGATGCACCACTTACCCAGCTGAGTGGTGGGCAAAAGGTTAAGCTTTTATGTGGTTTTCTCAACCTGGGCTCACGGTCGTTGGTAGGTTCGGCTGGCGATAGCGCTGATTGTGTTCATACCGCCTCCGCTATTACTTCTCGATGAAGTAACCACACACGTGGACTTCCCGACCATCCAGGCACTTGCGCAGGCTCTCAAAACCTTTACGGGCGGGATCATCATAATCACGCACGACCGGTGGTTCAGCCGCGTCGTGATCGAGGGTCAATCATTGCGGCACGCAAGGCCAGACGACGATATCTCGGATGACTCGTCGAGTGATGAAGAGGACGATGAAACCACCCCGCCAGGAAAGACATATCGCGTGGGTGGTGGGAAGCTCAAACTTATGGAGAAGGGCATGGCTCAGTATGTTGCACTCGTCGAGCGAAAGTTAGCTCGAAAGAAACGGGAGGACGCCAAGACTTGATACGTAGGCTTGTAGAGGCTGTAGACCCGGTAAATCCCGCATGGCTTGATGTGGACACGTGACGTTTCCTGATTTGGCCGCAGTCATCCTCACAATCCAAAGGGGAAATATTCTCGTTCAAGCGAGGACCGAGTCAGTAAGATAGCTCGAGTCCAGGGTAACATGCAATCATCTTCAGTGTAACCACTGTGTGCCACATGAGTACTCTTTGGGCCCGATATGGCAGCTATACACCAAACAGGTGAATTTAAGAGAAAATGGTGAGAAGCCACCATAAGGTCTGTTGTCAGTCAGATCTCAACCGTAGAACTAACAAACCACTTCGTAGGTCTCATTTAGTTGTTCAATGGAAGCGAGGGGTAAGCATCAGTGAGTGTGAGTGTTCCCATCATTGCTATCACTGCTTTTCCTCTGAACATACCCAACTTCTGCTGACTTCGGATGCCTAGATCTTTCGCCTCCTCAGAGTTGGAGGGTTGTTAGATCTTCTAAAGCTGAAAACAAAGACAGATTTTTTGATCTATGGAAGCTCCGACCGACAGATTTTCTTTTCCAGGCAAAATGAGGAGGATCGAAAGTTATAAATTTTTGAGACCAAGATAGCATCAATCAATAAAGATTCTCTACCATAGAACTGTCTGTTGCCTTGCTAGCTACCTGATAAAGAAAAATCATGTAATTCTGTGGAGAATTGGTCAAGAACGGGGGCATTTTCTCTGGAGTTCATTATTGAATGATCGAAGGAGCTGCTTACAGGATATCATGCCATCACTTCAACTTATAACATTTCAGCATTGCACAAGGCATTGAGGGTCATATTATGAAACATTCTGGCTTTTTACAATGCTGAAATGTTATACGTCGAAGTGATGACATGATAACCTGTAAGCAGCTCATTCGATCACCATTCAATAATGAACTCCAGAGAAAATGCCTCCGTTCTCGACCAATTCTCCACAGAATTACATGATTTTTTTTTTGTCAGGTAGCTAGGAAGGTGACAGACAGTTTCATGGTTGGGGATCTTTATTAATTGACGCTATCTTGCTAAAAAAATTCATAACTTTCGACCTGCTCATTATTTCGCTTTGAAAAAAAGATTTCCGACAACCGGAACGTTCAAAGAACAAAAAGTGCTTCAAAAAGGTCGTATTTAAACCCCCGGCGGGACTCGAACCCGCAGCCTCCAGATGGGCGACAATGCGTAGAAGTCTGACGTCATAACCATTAGACAACGGGGGCGACATAGAAGGTGTTTCAGATTGAGCTGTAGTCCAGTGTCCAAACTTATTGCGAAGCAGAAGCCTCAATCCTGCGACGACTTTTCTCAGAAATTTGGAGTAGATGTATTGAAGGTATATACAGGTCATATCCAAAATTTGGAGCCAGAGGATCAGAGGTGCCATCGGAAAAAAATCGAGAGTGTGGCCAACCACTTTCCTGATCAAGCGATCATCATTCATTTGGATTCATTGTGGGAATGCAAATCGAATCAGGTTTTCTGCCAACATACACGACTTGCTAAAAGACCTATGCATTCGAACCGAAATGTAGGAATGTACCTCAATTTTTTTTCTCTAGGGACAAAACCGATATCCTATCGAGAGGCAATGAAGAATATTTCTTCGCAGGGTCATTTTCGGCCATCCTTGCGACTCGGAGCAGGATATACGGATGCGGCGCAGAGATGGGGCCAAGGGCATGGATACGGTGCAAAGGGCATGACTTTGTTCGTTTCTTTCTTTCTTTGTTCTTCTTTCTTTCTTTCTTTTTTTTTTTTTTTTTTGGGGGGGGGGCGGGATTGATGTTGCAGCCGTGCTACGTGGTTAGTCCGAGTCTCTCCAAGACATATGTTGCAGTGTCTGCACTTGCTCGTGTATCACCAAATCAGTGTCAGATCTAAGTAATTTTTTTCCCTGCAACACATGAAAATTTGGACTTCGACATGGCAACTGTCTTCAAGTAGGTCTGTTCCCAAAAAGGTCAAGGAATGAAGGAGAATGCGGTTGTGAGATGCGAATCACACCTATGACCCACACCGTACTTTGACTTGAGCACACTTACTATACATGCCAAACCTGCCTGCAATTATTTTTTTCGGTGGAGCAGTGATCCATGGAGGTGTATGGTCCAGGTGATTTGTACGGTCCAAAATATATACATACTTGGAGGGAGAGGCCTGAAAGGTGTTTGGACAAGACCCTTGGCAAAGACAAGCCTTAAGATCTTAAGAGTCCACAGTCACAGGAAAGGAGAGGAGAGTGATAAAGTCAGGAAATATGAGCAAGGGAGAAATTGCGGGGGGCCACGCAAGCTCGAGGTAGTCGTGGTGCTCACAGATATCCAGGAGGCATTCCCGTGATAGGTAGTCAATGCTTTCGGATAGAGAGGAGTGGTGTACTCCGCAACTTCTGGTGATATTTGTGAGTCCACTCACCAACCATGATCAATGATTTTTGAAATAACTTCCACAAGAGTGGTTTGACCCTCATCGAATTTGGAAATAGCAGAACACGATGCGCCCTTATAGAGTCTCATCGGAACGAGGGTTGCGCGCGACGCAACCCACGCTCTTAATACTTGTGATCCCGCACTGTTAGCGGGAAATCACTCACCAAACTCATTTCGTACTACTTCACCACCAGGCAAGCGCCCATATCAAGATGTCGTAGGACCAGGTATGGGGCCGAAGTAAAACTGAGATGAATCTACCGCTGAGTGCCCCGGTCCATGAGTCAAAGATTCATGAAGAAGTCGCGTTTGATATAGTATCTCGGCCATTGACCACATTCCACAGTGTCGCAGTGGAAGAGGAAAACGGTGGATTGTGATAGGCTGTATGATAGGATGACGAGGAGCCGCAATTCGGGCCGGTGATACGCGAACCGGCTACCGATCGATCACTCCAAGTTTGACTTGTGCCCGAATACCAGCCCGCCGACGTGGACCTGCTGGCCACATAGCCGGGGCCAGGACCACACCAGCCCAAACCCAACATCCAGGATTTCAGAGGGAGGGCTTTACAAATTCCTTCCGCACGAATTGGGTATGAATGCACAATTTTAGCTCGAACGGTCAAAAATATTGAATTTTCGAATCTAAAGTGACCTGGAAGAAATTCAGCTGCTTTCTGGGACTCCTGTTTGCGAAGAAGTATCCATCCAAGTTTTTGAAAAGCAGGGCCTTCTCAAGACCTCTCCTGTCACCCACTCTCACGTTAAAGTTTCGCTGCGCATCATCCAGCTTAGCACAATTGCCGTGAACAGTCCACTTGTCCGCAACTCTCTACGTCACTGACTTGGCCAGTCACAAACCGCGAGGCTCTCCCGGAAGCCTCGCATTCTCCGCCCATATTTGGTGACCTAATATCTCTTTCACGATGAGCTCCCCGCCCCGAGATGAAGACGGTGCAACATTTGTGAGTTCGCCCGTCTCAATTCGTGGCGGCTCTCCGGTCCGTCGCAGGTCAAGCCTCAGCCGCAGCGAAAGCGACCATTCCCGTTCTCGGCACTCACCCACCCTTACCCGCTCACTTGATCCTAACGACCCCCAATTCAGAGAGCGCCAGCGCACAATGGACGTGGACATGGCCATGCAGCTCTCCCGAGCTCGCAGAGAGACCATATCTCCAGTTGCCGAGCCTCCGGAGAACGCCTTCCAACCGCTTTCGACCTCTGAACAGCATGAACTTGACATTGCGCGCGGAGAACCAGAGGAACCACCCGAAGACCTGGTACCGACAGCGACTTTCGTGGAAATGAACCATATCTCCGCACACGATCCGACATTGCTAGTACACGAGTCGCATCTACGTGCTGCGCCTTCGACCAGTAACTTTGGTGGTCTTCCCACGTATCAACCCAATGCTTCTCAATCCGAATTTGATTTTACGCCTATGGATGAATTCGCCACGGCCGAAAAAGCACTTCTCAGTCTCGCCTCTCCAAAATTCTCACTGAGTGCCCTCCGCGCACGCACAGTCGCCCCCGACACTGATGACGTCGACGACGGCCCCTCGGACCCCGAACGCCGCTCGTCTCCCCGCCGAAAGCTCAGCCATAGTAGCCCCCGTCCACGGCACCATCGAAAGGGCGGTGGTGGCAAGATGGCGCTGTTTGAGGGGAATACTGGTGATCCGCCCCCTTCCTTTACCATTGATGCTGCGCAAACTACCACCGGTATCCCGGGAATCTTGCATACCGGGCATGACAGGCCCTACCGCTTCTCCTTCTACTCGAATGCACTTTCTGCCACTATACACTCGCGCAGTCTGAGCGAACTCCCTGCCGAAGGGCAGTCGTTCACCGACCTCTTCACGGGTATACCACCACCGCGGGAACCCAGCGCTGCACGGGATCGGCCAACGCGCCCTGGACCGTCGCCGGTGGTGGGGGACAAGACGCCGCGACAGTCCAATCACAAGGGCCAAGGCGAGCACCTACGGCGTAGCTCCGCCGCCGACGCGGAATCGAGCACCTGGTGGCTGGACGTGCAGAGCCCGACGGATGACGAAATGAAGATGCTGAGCAAGGCAAGCACGCCGCTCTCCTTGTCTCGTCTTTGTTCACGTCCCCGCAGGTGTTCTCCATCCACCCGCTTACGACCGAGGACATCCAGATGGAGGAGACGCGCGAGAAGATCGAGCTGTTTCGCAACTACTATCTCGTGTGCTTCCGCTCGTTCGACCAGGACCCGTACAGTCCGACACACCTCGAGCCGTTGAACATGTACATCATTGTCTTCCGCGAGGGCACGCTCTCGTTCCACTTCCGCCCGACGCCGCACCCACAGAACGTCCGCCGGCGCATCAAGCAGCTTAAGGACTACATCAGCGTCACGTCTGACTGGATCTCTTACGCGCTCATCGACGACATCACCGATGCGTTTGGGCCGCTGATTCAGGGGATTGAATACGAGGTCGACAGCATCGACGAGCTTGTACTCATACTTAAGGAGGCGGAGCAGAGTGACATGCTTCGGCGCATTGGAACTTGCCGCAAGAAGGTTATGGGGCTTCTGCGGCTCATGGGGAACAAGGCGGACGTCGTCAAGGGTCTTGCGAAGAGGTGTAACGAGCATTGGCGCGTTGCCCCCACGTCGGACATCGTAAGTCTTCCAATTTATTAGTTTTAGAGTTCGCTTCTCAGACTTGTCGTTTAGGGGCTATATCTTTCGGACATCCAGGTGACCAATACACGAAAAATGGACTGGGAGATTACTGACGGCGGGCATAGGACCATCTCATTACGATGACGCAGAATCTCAACCACTACGAAAAGATCCTTTCGCGTTCACACTCAAACTACCTTGCGCAGATCTCCATTGAGATGACTGATGCGAACAACCAGATCAATGACGTGCTCTCGAAACTTACTGCTTTGGGAACAGTGCTCATCCCTATGAACCTGGTAACAGGTGAGCGCCTACTTGCTTTGCTGTCTCCCTGTACAGTATAGGTAATTCGATGCAGGTTTGTGGGGCATGAATGTTCACGTACCTGGGCAAGATGTTCCTGTACGCATTCTCTTTCATGCACTCATACCCAGCTCATAAAGCTTCCAGGGATATGCCTGGTTTGTCTCCATCATCGCTGGCCTGGCGGCTTTCGCCATCATCGGAGGGTATTCTACTTATAAATTCATGGTCAATAGACGATAGAGTCGGACAGTATTATTCCGCATAGCATAATGGAATCTAGTCTGGTGTACAAGCGTTAACGATTTTGGAAAACATAAGGCGACAATAATAAATACACAGCGCATACACCAAATAAACAAGGAGGAGTTGTTAGCTCTGTGTTCGGGGCGCCATCAGGACATGGTTTTGGAACGGATGAGCGCGGGGAGAGCTTTGCAAGGATTGCAAGGAAGCGGGGATGACGATCTTGGCTAGCGAGGGTGACAGTCTCTGTGGGGGCGATTCCTGTGTCGACGAAGAATTCTGGCGCTTCGGCTCAGGAGGCGGCGGAGTGAAGGAGCTGTAGTTTCCGTTCCCGTTTCTCTCCGGAGAGGCAGGCTCGGGTGCGGCACGCCTCTTCGGGTAGATAGGGATGGGGTCGTTGAACACGTGCAACTCCTCCAGTTTACGCTTTTTCGAAGACGTGCTGGTGGGTGAGCCCTCCGGTGGACCGTTCCATCGAGACCAAGGTGGGGGTGGAGGAGGAGCAATGACGGCAGAGGACAAAGGAGGGAGGGGTTTGGTCGCAGGAACTGGTGTCATCTCAACATCATTTGAACCTGACC